TTACAAAACATTATACTCACTTCTTCTGTAGATGAGGCTGGATCATGAATGATTCGCGCGAACATAGATGCATTTATGTAGATCGGGGGCGCATTCCCTTCAGAAACAAATGTAATCCACTACGCGTTCAGCAGCTCAGATGTCAGGAGCAAATGACGACTGCTATGTTCATTATTACATCCAACAACAGAACACCTCAATCGCTTAGGAGTCACTCTTGTCTACATCCGTTCCGGAGGTGAAACAATGGCGCACTGATGACAGCTCACTCAGGGCGGGTCTAAGGTAAGACACCAGTCCAGTATGTGCTGAAACGCTACTGTCAATCAAACTATCGTGGGAAGGGCCTGTCTGTGTGACGTCATCTGCGATCGGCTTGGTTTGAGAAAGGGGAGAACATTTAACCAGATTTAAAAAAAAAAACACTGGGTGGATTTTTATTATTATAGGGTGGTTGTGTACAAACACTGCCAACACACATTTCAATTCAAACAACTTGTAAAAGTGCATGTAGCATCCTATGACCCCTTTAAGAAACTCCGCTCGACAGACTAAAATCGGAACAGCTCATCTGTGAAACAAAACAAATCTCACTAAAGAAGCCGATTTGATCGTTGTGCTTTATGACTGGACTAATTACCCCAAAATGATTTCAAAGTGCTGACTGCTTGATTTGTCATTACTTTTACAGTTACCTAAAAAAAAATTAAAAAAAAACACTTTTAGACTAGCTCTTGCTTGTTTTATTTAAAAAATGGCTGAACCTCTTATGGTGCAAAAATTTGTATAAATATAAAAAAATTTAATTATATCAGAATTACTGTTGGTATTTATCATTACAGCATTATGTTATTGATGTTATTTATCATTCCTTTTTCCTGTTTATCATAAGTCAGTAGGAAATGGAATTTGCGATTGTGTTTTCCTTCCTATTGTAACGTAAATGGGATTGTCTCGCACCAGAGGTAGGAAATTTGTATGTTTTGATTAAAGATTACAAGGACAAACGGATTTTTAAAAATTGCATGAATTAATAATTTATAAATATCTTGATTTCATGGTGACTTAATAAATTGATCAGTTCCCCCAAAAGACATTCTGCACTGTATTATATTTCTCTGCTTTTAAACTGAGACAAATTTTTTTTTCTTGGAATTTATATAGGAACAATATGGAGATGGAAAAGTCCACAAATTTCCTGGAATTACCGAAGCAGCAGAGGTTTATTGCACGTTTCTTTTCCATTACCTGCCTCACACATTCCACCAAAGGGTCTGAGCACTTGGTTGTGCTGGGGTTTGATGAGAGACGGGTCCAGTGCAGAGTCCTAAAGAACTCTCTATCTAGTCTTCAAATCTGAACCATCTCCAGACTTACGATGACCCTGCTCTGAGATACCCTTCAAGGAACTTTGGTAGACACATTTTTCAATATATTTTCAGAGAAAAATATCTTTTTCAGCTTTGCATTATCATTAACCACATTACTTCTTTTTTTAAGAGAAAATTATTATTATTATTATTTCCTCTGTGAAAATTCCTCTCAGAATATTTCACAGCTTAGCATCTGCTAACCACAAGTCTGCACCTCAGGTGTGAGAGAAACTGGGTAGGGCTGTTGCCTTGGAAACCAGCCACACATGGATGAACTTTGACATTGTAAATGTTTTTTTTTTTTCTAAAATGAATTCCCAGATCTAAACATATGGAAACCATTTGTTGCAGTCCAGCCATCTCTGATGTAGGGAGCATTTTTATCTACTGTGGTCATGTAATCACCACATGAAAACACACTTCTTGGTTGCTCGTACTGCAGGGGATGTCAGAAGAAGTGGCTTTTTTTTTGCAGTTTCCTTACCGTACAGAAAGATCCATTTCTGTGAAGCATGTTGGCATAGTGTTTGGTAAGTATGGAGGCTGGCTACAGGTGTCATTCGGATCCAAGTGGCTGAATGTCCAAATGGCATTTGGATTCTGGCATAGTACCACAAAACCCTGTAAAATATAGAAGATAACCGTTTATGCCGTAAAGTATGTTACATTTTTATAATTTTGTTTTTGCTATCAAAGTTGAATAAACTCAAGAAATACAATGGTACGGTAAGAGTTTATAAATAATAAATATTTGACTGCATCTTTAAACCAAGGTAACATGAGAAACCAGTTAATAGTTGGAACCAAATCACCCACACTATTTTTATTATCCAGTCAGCATAAGCTATAGTAACACAGGTGAAGCACTGCTACATTACTTGTTTTGAAGCAGATACTCCAGAGCAGTGGTTCCCAACCACATTCCTGGAGGCCCCCAAACACTGCATGTTTTCCATGTCTCCTTAATCAAACACACCTGATTCAGATCATCAGCTCATTAGTAGAGACTCCAAGACCTGAAATGGGTGTGTCAGACAAAGGAGAGATACGAAATATGCAGTGTTGGGGGTCCTCCAGGAACGTGGTTGGGAACCACTGCTCCAGAGGAATGAACAAGTGAAAAGACATTTGATAAAGGGGTTAAAACATTGTTTCTATTCCTGCCATATAGGGTAGTTCTATTCATGATAACAACTCATAGTTCAGAAATCTGTGAAATTAATTTTAAATCACTTTTCACTTAAAGTGCATCATGTTGAACCTGGTAATGTCACAGAGTAACCTACAACATAGCTTAATTGAAAAGATGAATGAGATTGAGGAGAGCAACTAAAGGGAGTAAAACTGAAAGGTGTTTTACTCCCAGTGCATAATTTAGATTTTTTTTTAGATATATTCTTATTCGCAAATTTAATAAATTCAAAGTCAAACAAGTATTTAAATATACAAAACAGACAGTACTAACAGAAACATTTAGACAAAGACTTTGACTAACCAGCCTAACCAGCAACCATTAATAATAATAATAATAATAATAATAATAATAAAATAAATACATTTCTCCAAATCTGATCTGATGAAGAAAAACTCATCTACATCTTGGATAGCCTGAGGGTAGGTCAATTTTCATTTTTCAGTAAACTATTCCTTTAACATCAGCTTTTTAAAGCAGAACAAAGAGACAATATCAAAAGCTTATATCTAAAGCCTGCCACCAAGTGGAATTATACTAGTTGCTGTACAAATAGAAAAGTGCTGGTATAAGCAAGGCCTGGTGTGTCAAAGGCATTCCGGGCATTACAACTCTCACAAGCTGTTCATTACATGCCATTAAAAAAAAACAAAATACAGGCACATGTAATTCAATTATCTGGGTCTCTACAACCAAATGAAATCCCCAAGCATTGTGACTCATTACAAGACCAGACCGAAATCTTTTTGCTTGTCTTTGCACTAACCCAACCCATCATTGAATTCACCCTATCTGGTGCCACTCTAAATAATTTACTCCGATAGCCAAGTGTATTTAAAGCAGATCAATACCATTAAAGGGCAGCTGGGGCATACTGAATAAACAGAGACCACTCTCCAGCACTGCACCGGCCTCCCACTGCATAGCTTCATCCAATCTATCTTTATCTGATCTGCCATCACACTAACCAACAGTGGCATAGAAAGAGTTAAAGAAATCAATGGCTCTCCCTCACTTTCCTACCATCCACTGGAAGCACAAGCACAGAGGACTCCTCAGCCTACGGTAAGTGTTGAAGAAAAGTCTGTTCAATAAAAGCTCAGTAGCGTGTATCAAATGGCCGTGCTCATCTAGGATTCGTTTTCCACCTTTTAGATCGGAATGACATGACTAAACGGTGGGGGTGATACATCAGCACCTTTACGATGAGATGGGTGATACATTCGGGGCCAGGTCTGAGGTGGCCGTGTGTGTTTTTCCCTCTTGCTTAGCCATCCTGTCTCCAGAGCGAGTCAGGGAGGGTGGGGGGCTGACTTTAGACGGCGCAGCAGCTTGAGGAACGCAGGCAGGGATGTGAAACCTGATCTACACTGCCTCTTAACCCTCCCGCCCCCACACCCCCTCTTCCCCTCCAGCCTCCCCGCGTTGCCACCTCGCCACAGACTCCCACTGCAATCCGATCCCTTGCACTGTGGCTGAGATTGAAACACACTCCTAGAGGTCTCCAGGGCAACTCAATCTGGGCCTGACTGATATTTTAAAAAACAAATATAAGGGGAAAAACATCTGTGTTTATAGTTGTATGATATTGCAGCCTTTTAAGCAATTAATTAATTGATTTCCACACATTATATGAGGGCAGATCTGAGCCAAATAGAATATATACATGTCAATAAGAGGTAAAACAGGCATTTTTAAAGTGCGGGGGCTGCAAGGGGTTGCTAGGGGTCCATGGATATGTTTAGAGAAATTTAAAAAAAATTATAATAAAACAATAAAAAAAACAAGATTAAAATAAATAATTTATAAAATACCTGAAAATAAAACATTGATTGAAATAAAATAATAAATGGTTGAATATAATTATTATAATAATAATGAACTTAATAGAAACAAATTATTTTCCTACAGAGAAAGAGAGGGATATTTATAAAACTGGGTATTTATACAAAAAACTATTTAAATGCCTTATTGGATTGAAAACCCCTACACTAAACCATCTAGGCTATTCACTTTGGGAAAAAGCACATGACCATCACATCTGCACAACAATTGATCATTAATTAACATTCAAAGTAAGACTGAACAAATAATTGCTCTAGCAGTTACTGTAAATACACCGTCACATGCTACACAACACAAATAACAGGACATACAAGATGTCACTGTTTTGCATGTATTAACATAATAGATCACCCAGAAATGTACATTCGTTCATCCTTTACCAATCGGCATGTCATTCCAAACTTGTATGATGAACGTAAAAGATGATTTATTTTTACTGTACAGGGAAAAAAATACTGTGAACATGAATGGTGACTTTGCTCCCTAATATTCCAGCTAACATCTCCAGAAACGTACAGAGCACAATAAGTAAATGACAGAATTTAATCAGCACAGCTCTTCCAGATACTGATATTTTTTCAGAAGGGATCGTGCATCAAGCTGTGGAATGCACAGATGTCTGGCATGTATATACTACGAGCCTTTAGCTTTAATTTTATAAACTAAATCCATTTTCCTCAGATGAAGCCTCTCTCCTCCAGGCCTCTCGAAGCAGACCGCTTCACAGGCAGTGTTACCATCTGTTTTTTGACCTCCTTGAGAAGGTAAAGGAGCTGAGCAGACCCCCTTCACCCCAGAACTCATAAATTAAAAGCAGCTTTTGTATTGAGCGGGCTAGAGGCATGGCCAAAAGAGAGACTAAAATCTGGAAAGCAGTACAAAATGTACAGTAAAACCGGCATCATTTAAGTGTAATAAATTTCCACAAACCTACGCATACAATAATATGACCCAAAAGCAGCTTTTTGTATTGAGAGGCGGATACGTGATCAAAACAGAGTTAAGAACAACCCATGAAAAGAATATATAATGCAAAATATAAATAAGCACGATATTGTATCGTGAAAAGAAACAAACATGAAATGTAAAACAGTTTCCATAAGAGAGATTAATAAACATTTAGAAGCAACACACAGCTGTCAGATTATTAGGGAAGCTGTTGCTAGCATTACGCGACTGTCGCGTTAATAACTTTTCACTCGGACTTTTACAAACGTTTTTACTGACGTTGTCTTCAAAACAGATGAATGTTATTTTAAACATATAATAAAATGTAGATTACAAAGACACTGTATTGTTTTGAAGCAAGACGGTCCTTATTGGTAGTTATGGGAGTAAATTTAAACGTATTTTGACTTGCTAACGGCGATAGCACACTAGCTATCATGCAACTCGCTTCACTCTGAGGAAATCTCCTGACAAAATCGTGTAATAAACGCGTCAACGCTCATCGTTTTTTCTATTTAAGCCTTGTACATTTGTTTACTGCGTAGTAAAAAATATAACACCCCACGGCAGTCAGTTTTGCTTTTGTACCGCGTTTAAAACATTACGTGGAAAATGGAAAATTCAGCGCAACAAACTTTCGCGAGGCAGCGTTTAGCATAGCCAAGCTAACACTTTCCATTACACTTACCGAAAAGATTCTTCAGCAAATCTTATTTCCGTATACTCCGTCAATTTATTGCGCTCTCCAATAACTCAGACGGTTCGTTTGTAGTTGTGATCGTGATGGACTCTGATTGAGGTCTGTTAAGGGTCTTGCACTGACCATCACAGCAGAGTGTCCTGCACTTACTACAACTACACCGAGTGCGGACAGATGATCACACAGCCGCGAGCGCTGATGCACCGACTTCCTAGCGCCCCCTGCCGATGAGCGCGAAACATTCACGTCCTCAACAAATGGCTCAATATATTGAGTGTGTTACATCTCAACACGTTAGTAAGTAAAAACATTCATCTGACAGTTTGATGCTAATAAAAATCATACTATTTGATAGAAATAATATTAGTTCGTTTTATTTCAAAACAATATCACAGTTAAGAGAACAATGTTATACTTTGGTTTGAGTGACACCTTTTTGAGTGAAAATAACAGCACATACATCAGTAAAAAATGAATTTGATGATTTTTTTATTCCTCACTGCCCTACGTACATCATAATTAAATACTTAAAGATTATTTGTTATATGTCATTGTTTTATTTTGATTTTAAATTCATAAATGAATGATAAGCATTATACTTACTCGGCAATCTTTTTGTCTGCCATTTTTGAATCCGGCACAATGCATACATTCTTTAAAACAGTTTTAAACATTTCATTTGATTGTGTGGAACATGATCATTTCGGCTTAAATTAAAGATTATTCAAAAACAAAATAAAATATAATTTCAAATACAAAGAAAGAGAACGCTATTAGTAGTACTAGTTAGTTTTTCATTTCAACTTGAAAAAAAAAAAACATATAGCCTAGTAACAGTAACATATAGCCATACAGTAAATCTACAGTATTCTGTAGAGCTGCCTCTCAGTTTGAACTATCATACATAAAGAAGTCTTCTTCAGAAGAAGACTGCATTAAAGACACTTGTTAACATATACCCCAGAACGTCGTATCTATAAAAATGAGTGTCACATAACACATACTGTCTGTATATGGTTTTTTATTGTATTATTGAAGTATCTGCAACTTTATGTAATTATGGATCAATCCTTTGCCTCTGTAATTTCTAGGTGAACTTTAGAATACAGCAATGACAAATTGAGATAATACATTATTTGTAAAGTACATTCAATAGCATTAAATTACATCAAATACATCTGTTTTTGAAAAAATGCTAAAAAGATAGAACATTCCCACTTCTGAACCCAACACTGATATTAATGTAATTTTAAGTAACTTACTAATCTTGTGTAAAAAAGAAGCTAACAGTTCATTAAATTTAAGAGAGGCAGTTATGACATGCCAAACCATTGTTAGTAATATTCAAAACAAGCAAACAAAAAAAAGCCAAAATCAAAAGTATAGCCCTAAGAACACGTCAACTGATGTGGTAGGTTACATTAACTTCAATATATGGCAGTGAAAATATATAAATCAAGGACACATTTTATAAAGTATGTCTAAATAAAAGTTATTTTAAGTGAATTGTATGCATAAAATATCAATATCACATAGGAAAACATGAGTGTCTAGAATTACAATCTCAGAATTTAACCATGATGTTCTTTAATAGCCACTAGTCATGAAACAAAAACTTTACTGTAATCTTAAAGTTGTACATCAGAATTGGGTAGCATATACCCACAGAGAAAAAAAGTCTCAGGTACCCCATTTGTTACATATTAACAATACAACTTGCATCCTGTGTGTGCCTCTTGTCTTGTTAATTAAAGTATTTATTAAATAAAAATGTGAATCCCTCCTTCTTGGCAAAGAAAACAAGTAAAGTACACCATTTGCAAAGATTTTGTAAATATTGAGGTTTTGCGCAAAATAAATAACAACAAAAATCAACTATCATAGGTGACAAGGCAAAACATGAATAATTGAAAAAAAAAAATACTCCTTGAGAGCTGGACATTATTACAGCTAACTATGTCTTGCATACACTGTGAGGGCAACAATTAATAAATTAAAATAAATTTTATTACCTCTTCAGATGCCCTGCTCCCATTCTTAAAATGAGTAGATAAAAATATGACACATAATGCTAATATTGACATCACATATGCATGAATTAGCTCACTTGCTTTCCCACACACTAAAAGCACAAATGAACAAGATTAGTAACACATAAAACACCCATTCATTATTGAAAAGACTGCAAAACAACATACAGCCTCAATCTATTTAACATCCTTTTGTGATTGATAAGCAAGTCAGGGATCTATAGGCCTCATTATTGTTCAAGAAAACAAATAGTAATGGAATAAAATCACATTTAAGTTTACTTCAAATTTTAAGGCGTAATAATATGCATAGACTTTTTCAGGCTGTTTCAATCTTCAATATTAATATCTTTCAAATTAAGGTTTTAGTCACTAATATCACAAAAATTGTATGTTGCATAAATTCACCAAACAAAAAAAAAAAGCGTTATATCTCTTAAATTCCTTTATCAGACAAACAAGTGAATGTATGCAAATGTATTAAGGTTATAATAATAAAGTCAAAGAAAGACCTAAAAATGTCAAAATGTCTAGTTTAATCCTCTTACTATTATGCTATTTAATATACTGTATGTCTTTTATATTAGTTTTTGTCATTTGGATAGACACTGATGTCTTGCCATAAACCACACATGCAAATGTATTAATTGCGACAGCTTTTGATGCAATGCTGAAGCATCTACACATTGATGGCATGTGCATGCTTCTTGCACAAGGGCTTGTCCTTCTTGGAGTAGAAAGGTTGTCCTTCCAGGTTCACATGGCACACCTGTAAGTCGGGACAGAAATGCATAGAGTCATAATTCAAACTCAGCGCTGAATTATATATAAACCATATGGGCAAGTGCTTTAACAAACTGATTTTGAACCTACTGCACAAACAAAGCAGGTATCATGCCATGTGTGGCCAAGAGCTTCAATAAATTTGTCTCCTGCCTCAACTGGGAAGTCACAGCCATGGCACTTTGTGCTGAAGAGTGCAATATAATCTGGTGACAGAAACATTTCATGAAAATTATAGCAGTCTGGATCTGCATACACCAAACTTGTAAACATACAAATTTGTGTCAGACATAGCTGGTGGCTCCCATACCTTTCTCACAATACGGCTCACCATCCTCCATATGGAAGAGGCTGTTTCCAAAGGGCTTTCCACAAGCTGCACACACAAAGCAAGTGGTGTGCCAGGTCTGCCGCAGTGCATGCATCACTTCCTGTTGAGCAGATGTTGAGCGGATGAACTGTCAGTATCTGTGAAGTGTGTTTACAGTCATGTCTGTGCATGTGTGTACAATGTTAATAGGTTTTCAACATACTCCCATGATCTTGGTGTTGCAGCGGGCACATGTAGGTGCGAAGAACTCTCCATAGCAGTTTTCACAGTAAACATTATTCTGCTCCTCCACAAAGCTGACATCAGCCAGAGACGTGTGGCAATAATGGCAGTTGAACTCCTCTGGATGCCAGGAACGACCCAGTGCCACCAGGAATGGTCCCCTGAGGAGTCAAAAAACACTGATAAAAAAAACTTATAGACAAATTGTTTTGATAGCATAAAAATCTATTATAAGTTTATTAAATCATTAAAACTAGGATAATCTAAACAAGGGTGAAATAAACAATATTTCTGTCAGGAACACTATCGTCCAAGATGATTGACAATTAGCATACAGTTTGGATTGGCGGTATGGTTCTGTTCTGGGCAAGAACTCCCTGCGCATCCATGCAGCCTAGCATGGATGAGAGCAGGGAGAGCAGCGATAACCCCCCCAGGGTAAACAGAACAGAACCAACATAAATGTATTGCAGATATCGTTAAAGTTCAATAATGTTATGTACACATTTTAGAATTAGTCTGATTCAAAGGAGAATCAGAAGGCTGAATCCTGACTGACAGAGGAGGAGTTGGGGATGGAGGAGGGTAATTAGCTATTGAGCAATGCGAAAACTGCTGATAATACTGAGGGACCTTATATATGAATGCTTAGATAGGTGTCGTATTCCCATAGGTAGATGGGGATCAGCTGACAGTCAGCTGATGCAAGCTTGTCTAACGTGACCTGCCAGAACTAACGCTACGCCAGATTTTTTTTCCACTTCCTCAGCTGTTGTGACATTTTTCAGAAGTTTTTGCTTAGAAAGGAGACAAAAGAATCCAAAAAAGAGATTGGGATGTAATATGAGATGAATAAAATAAACAAATGTATGAACAAAAAATAAAGGTAAATATCACTTGAAAAGAATATTTTTGTGTCACTTCCAGTCACATAAATCACATTAAAAAAAAGTTTAGTCATTACTCCTTAGGGCTTAGAGAATGCTGTAAAATAATTTAAGATTTAATGTCTGGGTCTGTGATGAAGGTAAGAAAAAATCTATAAATAAAATGCATTTTTATTTTAGTATTATTTATACACTATTATTATATTTATAAATATATTGAATTAGCTTGTATTTTTCAAATTTCACTTTTATATTATTTTAAGTTTTAGTTTTGAGCTTTAGTTTGAATACTTTTAGTACTTCAACTTAAACTCATTTATGTTTAAGTTTTTCAGCTAATATTTATTTAATGTGATTTCAGCTTTATTTCAATGAATGAAAATGTTTTTTAACAGTTTTAATTACACAGTTTTAAAAGTAGTACAATGAAGGCATGGTACAACAACAACAACAAAAAACCCTGAAATCTGCTTTTTTTTTTCAAAATAAAAATCAACCTCTGGGACATGAAAGTGCCCAAAGTTGGAAGGTATAGGAAGTTGAATAAAAACACATATATTACAAGAGGTCTTGTGATTTAAGATGGGTGAACATTGCACAAGTGTTATCATACCTGATGATGCTGTTGCAGGCTCCACACAGAGGTGTTCTGTTGCTGGCTGCAAACCGCTCTGCCCTCTGAGCAACTCCACGAGCCACTGGTGGGAAGGGGGTGGGGTTGAATGCAGGGCTGGGTGCGGCAGGAGCAGGAACAGGAACGGGAGCAGGGACGGGGTTGGGGATGTAGGGCGGTGGTGGTGGGGCCGCCTGGGGAAGAGGCTGCACTCTGACATTTGTGGAGGTGGTGGTGGGTTTGCTAGGGTCAAATTTATGAGCAAAGTTCTCATCAGTAACCCAAGGAGGCCTGTTGGAAGAAGACGCTGGAGCTGCGGCAGGAGCAGGTGGAGGTGGAGCAGGCTTGTGAACCATTGGAGGAGCTGGTGCTAAAAGATGCCCATGAATTAGTATTGCATACAAAGATGGACACACACATACACTGAATTATTTCACATATGTGCAACGGCTACCTGGGGCAGCTGAGTAGGCTGCAGGCATAATGGTGGCAGTGCTGACCACTTTAGGTGGAGGTGCACCTACGGGGATCTGGATGGAGCTGTGCTGCATGGGTGGTGGTGGCTGCTGCATAGGTGGGAGCTGGGAGTAAGAACTACAGAAGAACAGACCAGAAACTCAGTAACATTTCAGTTTAAATGAGAAGCTACTCTGCCTTCCTGCTTTTCCAAACTACTTAAACTTTTCCTGATCAATCTAAAATATTACACTTTTGGCAGATGCTTTCATCTAAAGTCACTGCATTTAAGATATACATTTGTATTCCCTGGCAATCAAACCGATGACTTGTTCATCTGTTTGAGCTAAAGGTATCAGGGCCGCTGCTGGTCAAATGGGTGCCCTAAGCAGGATTGTATTGTTGTGCCCCCTCCCTCAAATATTATGGAAGTAAAAAACAAAACAAAAAAAAAAACACCTACTATAGGGGTCAAAATAGAACTTTAATAAAATATAAAAGTAAGTAAATAAATAAATTGTAATTAAATTGTATTATTTACAAATTACAATTGTAGCTCTAGACAGTTATGGCTATGATTTTATTAATACAGTTGTCTGATTGATTTTATAGTCTCAAGCATTAAGAAATCACGCAAAAGAAAATTAAGCAGTTTTACGATAAAACCATGGTTAATTTTTGTAAGGGTTGTGATGTCCAGGTTTTTTTTTTTTTTTTTTTTTTTGAAGAAATTATTGAGGCTGTGTCATCTATAGCAAAAAGGTGGCCAAAAATCTAAGATTAAGTGGATATTTGAATTAAATGTTTGGTCAATAGCCTATTAAACAGCCTATTTGATCATCCTGTAAGTATAACAGCAGCAATTACCAGTCCTTTGGCTCCCTTTGCAGGCATTTGTAATAACATGTAATGTACATAAATTGTTTATTTTGCATTACATTATGCATTTTAATATAGGCATAACCACAAAAAATATATATATTATCTTAATACTTCTTTGTAAATTATTATTTGAAGTAACAAAACCATGGTTAATTTGCGGTTACCATGGCTACACGAACCATGATTTTTGGTTGTATTCGTGTTAAAACCATGCCTAATTTTCGTAAGGGAACATGGAAACTAAAAGAATATTAGATGCTTTGGTGGTGGTGAAATTATTACCGACATTAAAACACGGTATTAACGTCAACAGCCAAAAAAATTTCACAGGATTATGAATGTACCTGAAATTGATGCACCGGCTTTGTTTTCATCTTTTTTTTTTTCTTTTTCTTTTCTCGGCGCCGGATTGCTGATGTCTTTTCACTGGCATAGTTGTCATCATTGATCATTTGCATTCAGCCGCAAACATGAGGTGCGAGCGGGCGCGGATGCGAGAATGGGGCGTCACATTTTTTTTTTTTTTTTTTAGGGAGCGGCGGTACTGAAAGGTATACATTACTAATTATAATTGTAATATGTATTAATTACATTATTGATGTTTTATAAAGAGCTGCTACACATTTTACAAGACTTAACCCATTGATGCCCATATTTTGCCCATGTAACTGCATTTTAAGTTTTAAATATGTGGTATATATCTCTATACAGAAATTCACAAAGAAACATGTGCAAAAATAATAAAGTGTTTTGCACATCTTCCACTATAAAGTTATAAGTGTAAACATGCAGAAAGGGCAACAAGAATTAAACACCACATGGCACATTATCCAGTAAGTTGCCATAAGCTTTTCCTAAGGTCGTCTATTTTTACAGTATGTCAGCTGTTTTTAAAACATCTATAGTCTTCATCTATAGAAAAAGAGTGATATTTCCTTTGGTGACTTTAGTTGTCCACAAGCTTAAATGGGTTACTGACTCAAAGTTTGGATGCACATTCAGTTCTCATAGACTTTACTGCTAATATTATCCAAGGATGTCTGACCACATAATCTATCACATACACATTTGAAGATGTCTTACCTTAAATCCCTTCATTACCATTTTAGTGCCAGAATTATTGTTATTTTAACAAAGCAGCGCACAAGAAAAAGACAGTCTAGTACCAACAACAAGTGTTAGAAGAGAGAGCCTTCCTGGATTTGAGCAAAATGACCAGGTTACACAAACCCTTTCCATTTATATACATAAAGACACATATTCAAGAATGGTTATAACATGAAGTTAAAAGAACAATACCCCAAGCATAAGTATTATCCCTTGGGTAAATTGGCTAAAAGAAGCAGTAAAGGAGAAAAGATGTGTTATGGCACATTTGACAGGCCACACTGGGAGGGAGAAAACACATTGTGTTTGAATACAGAGCAGGACCACAGCAGTACCTGGACATGGAGGTTTTGTACTGGGAACTGTAACCCATAGAGGTCTGCAAGTTGAAGCTATAATATAACAAAGACAAAAATGGTGGACAGTCAAACGTATCAAGCCTAGATTGAACCAGAGAGAGGACATGTGCACTCATATCTGTACGACTGCCAAACTCATCCAAATATTGTCTATAAAAAATACAAACAGGATCAGATATTTTGGTTTTCCAAATCAAAATACATCTGGAAATTAACTGAATATACAGTAACTCTTTAAAGAACTAGTCATATGTATTCTGTTTTTTGTCTAAATACAACAACAGTACACTATCAGTACTGTACAATATGAGTGAACATGGCAACAGACCATGAACAAATCATCTTACCAACATAAAGACATGCAGACACATACAAAACAGAAAACAAACATATGCGTTCAAATCAAAGACCCACCATGTACCAACAACTGCATTTAGCAATAGCCAGTAAAAAAGACTTAATTTAACACAAGATTCATATATTTCAGGGCTAACAGAGTCACCTGCTGACCCAATCACTTCCTGTAGTAGGAGACAAATGAAAGAAATCTGAACTTCAACTAAATCTGAATGAATAAAAATACGACTGTGGTTTCTAATAAGTACATGGAAACTTGGTTATTTATATCATTATTTGTATAAATATGAAGTTCACTCCAGTCTGGATGCAATAAACTTAACAGACTGCTGTGTCAATGTAAGCAATGGATACATGCAAAGAGTTTCTGCCACGTCTCAATTAAAAACAAACTTACTTAAGAAACATGAGAATGGGTTGATAAATGCCCTTGGGATATGTGTTTCAATGCCCAGATATGAAAACTCACACTTGGGTCTCAAAAATTGACTTGGTATAAAAGATAAAATGAAATCTCTAGAAATAATACATATTAAATAAGAACATTTACATATAAGAAATTGAAAGAGATGTATTAAAATAAGGCTAACTTTGAGATCTGAGACTTGACTGGGACTGTTAAGACTTGAGGGTCACATAACAGCATCAGGTGTAGTAGTACTGACACAGTACCTCATTAAAAGAAAAAAAACCATGTCAGGAAAATTAATGCTCAACCCCCAGAGGAAATGTATTAAGTCACTTTATCTCTGGTTTCATAAACACCCGTTCCTGCTGTTATTGTTAGAGTAACACAAGAACATGGTACATATAAGTGCTTATGGTGATCTTAAGCTTAAAAAGTAGTTCATGGATGTCTTGGGAGGTTTTTATTTGGGTCAAGTCCTGGTGTTGAACAATGTGATGATAAAGAGACGCAACTCATAAAAGCAGAAGACAGCCATCCTGGCAATGACGACATGTATTCAATCAAACATGAGTTTCTAGTTTCCTTTGGGGAGGAAGAGTATTAGTAGTAATAAGCTGTAGCAAATGAAGTAGCAGCTGCAACAAGAAATTGGGTTAAGACAAAGAAGATCATATTAGAGGATTAAAGTAATTGATTATAACATTAATAGGATTGGAGGATTGGCTTTGCTTTGAATCTCCAGGATCAATGAAGTCTCTTTGTCATAACACTCTCTCTTGTCCTACAATCTCTCAAATATTAGGTTCAAATCTAATAGAAATAGTTCATTTTCTACAACATCTATCACGTGTCTCCACTAATAGAAGTTAATTAAAATTGAAATAACTCACAACTATGTCCTACACACAGCCAAACAAATGACCTGTAAGTAATCAAATTTTAAACCGTTCTTTAAAAAAACAAAGAAAAAAAAAGAAGTAAAATTAAGAATAAATAACCCAAACAAACCAACAATAAAAAACAGCAATAACAACTTAAATAACATAAATAAAATAACACTATGAAAGTTTGAGGTTGGTAGGATTTTTAAATGTTTTTGAACGAAGTCTCTTATGCTCAACAAGGCTGCATTTATTTGATCAAAAACACAGTAAAACAGTAATATTGTGAAATATTATTACAATTTAAAATAACTGTTTCCAATTTGAATATATTTTAAAATGTAATTTACTCCTGTGTTGGTAAAGCCGAATTTACAGCAACCATTACTCCAGTCTTCAGAGTCACATGATCCTTCAGAAATCCTTCTCATATGTTGATTTGTTGCTGAAGAAACATTTCTCATTATAATCAATGTTGAAAACAGTTGTGCTGCTTTATATTTTTGTGGAAACAAATGTGTTTTCCCAGGATACCTTTAAATAGAATATCTTTTTTTCTACATTATAAAAGTCTTTACTGTCACTTTTGGTCGATTTAATGCATCCTTGCTGAGTAAAATAATTAATTTCTTTCTTTCAAAAAAACTAAAATCTTACTAATTCCAATCTTTTGCAATGCATATACATATACACATATACATACCAATGGGGAATACAATAAACCAAGTAAAGGTAAAGCAAGCACAAAATGCAACACATGCAACTTTACCTGGTTACCATGGTTTGCTCAGGATTCTGCTCCGCATCAGGCTCGGGCGCCTGATTGGCAATCTGCGGCTCCGAAAAGAGCTCATTGGGCAAAGCAGCGATAGTAGGCGGACAGACAGGTGCAATACTGGTGGAAACTGGAGCATGCTCAGCAGGAGTACTAGATACAAGGTTAGGTTGCAGTGATATCAGAAACTGATGTCAAGCTGAAGCCATAAATACAGACAGCAGCCGTATTTCAGGCCATGTATGTATCTATGCCTTAATTGAAGTTAAATTTTGTTACAAGTCGCTGTTTCATTCTCATGCTTACAACATTTCTGAGCACAATGCAAGGATGTCCATCATGGGGGGAAGGAAATGTTAATTGATTTCTTCTAATTTGACTACTCGTTAAATGTATCCATTTTGTCATTGAAGGATTGTAAAAACTGTAACATAAAAGACTATGAACTATTGAATTGGTATGAGTCACCGCTTAAGCTGTGGCTGTATTTTTACTCTGAAAGCAGTGGTGTCTCGGCAGCTGAGACAACTGTAAGTGCTATTCTAGCATGAATTAAATGAATCCAGACATAAGGGCTACAATCAATCGTGTGCTCAATCAGTGGCAATGAACTGCATATGGCAGGACCTCAGTGACGCAGGGTATAAAGGTTACATAAACCCTCTTAGTGTGTCCATAAAACAAAATTCTGTGGTTAGAGAGCAATAGATTAGTGTTAAATAATACTCCCCTGTGATCCAAGCAAAGAAAAGTGCATTATTCACAAATTGACATTTCTTTCATTTGAATCATTTGGCATCCCCTGTACATAATCAAACACAATCAAATGATGAAAATAGATTGGTGTTGGAGCCGCCCAGGCAGGAGAGAGAAGATAAAAGGCAGGCACCTAGCAGCATTAGGCCTGGTGGTGGACCGATGGCTGACCCCCTTCACACACTCCGCAACCATTCTTCCTGACCATCTCTCTCTCTTCCTGACTCATTTTATGTAGAAAAGGCCCACAGGGAGGAGGAGTGAGGTAAAAGATGAAATAAAGAGAATATTTAAAGCTGAAGTGTCTCATTATTTTACTTTATTTATCCCATGTTAATATGAAGAAACACCTATAAGTGAAGTGAACTTTTTGTTGGTTTTCCTGTTGATTAACCCTATGTTTACGACCAATCCAACGCAGCAACATTGGCCTAACCAATCCGGGTTTCATGAGAAACTGCAACTATTTTACAAAGGAGTGATTTCATACAGAAATATATGATTTTTAGATTGGTATCTGTTTGTCCGACCAATAAAAAATGTGGGAAAATTCTTGAAATCTATATAAAAACAGTTCTGTTTGAAATTCCAATTTGTGATGTTACTCGCTCAGAAATTACACACTTCAGCTTTAATGTCATTCTGTGGATCATATTGAGTTATGGTGATGGAACAGAGAGAAAGGTCTGTAAATGTTGATTGCAGACATTAATGAAGCCTTCATGAAGATTTATACACTTTCTGTGGTGAACTTGTATGCGTATTGAATCCCTCTCTGTTATTTGTATAATGTAAGAAGAGCATATGTGTGTATTGGAGGGGCTTTGGGAAAGGTGTGTGGTGGTAGAAAGCATACACACACATTAGCATTTATTGCAAGCTGTGAGAGACTGAAATTAGAGAGTCTACAAACAAACAAAAATTATAACTTAAGAAATTATGTTTACATCACTGATTACGTGACTCTTTAGTCTCTCTCTCTCACACACACAGACATACACAAACATTAAATAGGTCATAATATCCTAAACACTGTATTCATCAACTGGCTATACTGCCAAACTTTGGTACTTTTAGTTATATTAGCAAAATCTTGAATCTCAGCACAGATTCAGAGAACAATGAAATATAGATCACAGAAGCAGACAATGCCTTCAGAAAGAGGGGTTGTTATTGAAACTAAACTACTTGCAAATGTGGGTCGCTAATTTATGGAAGAGGACCAGAGAGCAAAGAGAGTCAAGACAGGCAGAGGGTAATTCAGACAATACTGCAGTGCCACCTGCTGGCATTATACGCTTGACACATAGTTTGGACATAGGGAAAGTGTGTTCTCATTCTAAAGCGGGTTAGTGCAACACAGTCTCATGAAAAGCAGCCTAACATGTAGACTATCACTGTTCCTCTCTTTACATGCAAATTAGCAAACAACATTGGCATAGTAGAGGGTTGCAAAGAAAAACTGAATGAATACTGAATGGAATATGAAATAGTCATGCAATAATAACAACCACACACAAGAGACATTGTAGGGAATGTAATGCTTTGAATGTTGAATAGGCTCAGTTTTCCAACCCAAGTCTACAAACAAACAAAAATTATAACTAAGAAATTATGTTTACATCACTGATTACGTGACTCTTTAGTCTCTCTCTCTCACACACACACACATACACAAACATTAAATAGGTCATAATATCCTAAACACTGTATTCATCAACTGGCTATACTGCCAAACTTTGGTACTTTTAGTTATATTAGCAAAATCTTGAATCTCAGCACAGATTCAGAGAACAATGAAATATAGATCACAGAAGCAGACAATGCCTTCAGAAAGAGGGGTTGTTATTGAAACTAAACTACTTGCAAATGTGGGTCGCTAATTTATGGAAGAGGACCAGAGAGCAAAGAGAGTCAAGACAGGCAGAGGGTAATTCAGACAATACTGCAGTGCCACCTGCTGGCATTATACGCTTGACACATAGTTTGGACATAGGGAAAGTGTGTTCTCATTCTAAAGCGGGTTAGTGCAACACAGTCTCATGAAAAGCGTAGACTAACATGTAGACTATCACTGTTCCTCTCTTTACATGCAAATTAGCAAACAACATTGGCATAGTAGAGGGTTGCAAAGAAAAACTGAATGAATACTGAATGGAATATGAAATAGTCATGCAATAATAACAACCACACACAAGAGACATTGTAGGGAATGTAATGCTTTGAATGTTGAATAGGCTCAGTTTTCCAACCCATGCAGTATTAAGTATTAAGCATTTGTTTCCAAAAAATGTATAACTGTTTTGAGGAAAATATCATGTCCCCTTGTTAAAGGGATAGTTCACCCAAAAATGAAAATTCTGTCATTAATTACTCACCCTCATGTTGTTTCAAACCCATAAGACTTTTGTTCATCTTCGGAACACAAATTAAGATAATTTTGATGGAATCTGAGAGCTGTCTGACCCTGCATAGACAGCAATGCAACTGAAATGTTCCCAGGTCCAGAAACATAGCAAGAAGATCGGTAAAATAATCCATGTGACATCAGGGGTTCAACCGTAATTTTACGAAGCTATGAGAATACTTTTTGTGCGCAAAATAAAAAAAAAGAATGACTTTATTCAACAATTCGTCTCCTCCGCATCATCCTAGCGCCATTTTGGAGAGTATCCGCTGGACGTAAACAACGTATGCCAGAACAGCATACGTTGTTTACATCCAGCGGATACTCTCCAAAATGGCGCTAGGTTGATGCAGAGGAGACGAATTGTTGAATAAAGTTGTTCTTTTTTTTTCTTTTATGCACAAAAATTATTCTCATAGCTTCGTAAAATGACGGTTGAACCCCTTATGTCACATGGATTATTTTACCAATCTTCTTGCTATGTTTCTGAACTTAGGAACATTTCAGTTGTATTGCTGTCTATGGAGGGTCAGACAGCTCTCAGATTCCATCAAAATTATCTTAATTTGTGTTCCGAAGATGACCGAAGGTCTTACGGGTTTGAAACGACATGAGGGTGAGTAATTAACGACAGAATTTTCATTTTTGGGTGAACTAACCCTTTAAAGAAATCTAACATGAAATAGCCTACAGGAACGAAGACTGGGTAGCGAGTTATGGAAAAGACTTGGGTGTGTTTCTTTGAATGCTTTTAAAAAATGCCCATTTGGCTTCATTTATCTATGTACAATCATGCATGACAGAAAACAACCTTTACAATGATGGGTTAAAAACACCAAACTAATCCTTTAATATTCTATAATATTTAATATTATGGCAAGAATTCTGGAGAGGCTTTTTAACAAGGGTAGAGACTATCTATTATGAAATAAATACATTAGTGGAAAAGGTTGTTTAATGCTAAAGCAGTAATTCACACTGAATGATTGCAACAACATAAGAACACAACAATGAACATTCAACAGATTCATACAGAGCTGCTTGGACCACATGTGGCACTACAGACAAGATAACAGCATGGTAGAAAAGAGACATTTGTCACAAAACACCAAAATCACTGTTTTGTGACCAACTGAAAGTACTATAAACTTAAATAACTTAAAAAGATAACTTAAAGTAACTTAAAACGTACCATAATATAATAAAATACTAAATAATAAAATACTAATAATATTAAAAAAACGCTGAAATTGAAAGACTAAAATTACTAAACTAAAACTGAAATAAAAATAATTTAAAGCTAAATGGAAAAAACTAATAAAAATAACAAAATTACTCAAATTTAAACTAAAAATAAAATCAATATATAATAATAATACTGCAATAACACTGTTATAAAATAACACTGCAATTAGAACCAAAAAAGAAAAAAGCAATACCAATAAAGTGCCAACTTGATAAGACCTACTGAAAACAAAATTATTGTCGGAATGAGCAAAACAAACATACAACTTAACGGACAGCGGGAAACAGCACTGCAGTGATGTGCAATGAAATAATTGTTTTGTTTCAGTCAAATGAGAAGTGTCTGATGAAAAGTTGGAGATTGAAAATATGAAGAAAATGACAGCATAACATACAAAAGAGCTGACCGATGCAACATTATGTCAACCTAGCATGACGTGTTCAGATGTACATGAAGGCAGAGATCTGAATAAATATGACAAGAATGAAGAGTGAGGGAGGGGCCAGCCACCAAGGGCCACAAGCACTCCAGTGCAGTCACACAGTCTTCCCAGCATGCACTGCATGCAAGTGGGGGCTCACAAGTGACGTAAACCAGTAGTGAGATGGTATGAGAGAAGGACACGGTTAGCAGAGGCATAATTCTATACTATTAATAAAAATCTAGCGCAAACCAGCCCAAAGCAGAGCGAACACCATTTCCCTATGTGACAACCAGACAGGCAGAATTACCTGGAGGAAAAGTCCTGGTTTATTGACTCTCTCTACTCACAGACATTGACTTCCATCTTGCTCAACCGCTTGAAGTTCTGACGGCTTCACACGCCTTCGCTCATCCTCTGGACACAGAGCTTGTCCCTTCAGCAACCACTCATCTAGCTAAAGGTTATTACTCTTCCTACACAAATAAACTTTACACTCCCTGGATTTTCTCAAAGTAAAACCATTAGAATCTAAAATAGTGATCTGTCAACATTTTTCCAGCCTCACCCCTGATCAGTGCCATATGCAAAGCTCTGTGATAGTTAGACAACTGACTGACAGATAAACATCCTTATTGCATGAAACCCCTAGGCAGTCTAATTTATAACCACAGGCTTAAGAAAGAAATGTCTGACAAGTTCAATGAAAAAAAAAATCTTTAAAGGGATAATAGTGTTGGTGATTTGAAGTTTGGTCTAAAGCAAAATCTTTTACTGTCTGTCAGGATTTACTTTTCAACAGATAAGAAATGACTTCTGGAATAAAATTGACTGCATGTGCAAGCGATTTCAACATTTGCTAACCTTTTTAACAAACCTGCTCTTGCGTAATCACTGAAATGCTATCACAGTATCAAAGGGTTAGATTCTAAGATCTACACAGAAAAAGGTAAAATAACAAATTATCTAATTCAGTAGTTCTCAACTTTATTGACTCTTCAAGGCACCCCATTGTCCAAAATACTGGTAAGATATTTCCTCTGGTATTTCTGCTGTAATTATGACAACACTGCTTGCTTTCAAATTTTTTTAATAAATGTTTTAAAATATAAATAATCACTTTTTTAATAATTTTGTGATTCTAGAAGATTCAATGTGTTCGGTTTCTGTATGTTGTTCAAAAAGTTGTTATTGAGGGGATATATAGATGTATATAGATATTCCAATAAATTGAATGCTTAAAATGCTCAACTTTATTTAAAAATAGTTTTAAATAATTTAAATAAATAATTTTAAGCAACCCTGTGCCCCTGGATGTTTTCCAAGACCCCGGCCCCCTTGTTGAGAACCACTGATCTAATCTAGAAAGCAGAGTGGTTTATTTGTGAATTTATGGCCAAGAATAAAATGGGAATGATTACTTCCAGCCTTGCTATTTTAAGAAAAAAGTTATCAGGTTATAGGCTATATATCTAAAGATTAATATTAAGACCATTATTTAATAGAAAGTTAATTTCCTTTCTGTAGACATAAATCTTTTGAACCCATGCAGACTTTCACACCCAAACAAATCCCAGTGCCAAAAAGCCTTTCCACATGATTAGTTCATCACATTTCTTTTATTTGATGGATTTGAAAGACTTGCACAGATGCAGTGATGTTCTCAACAACCATCAATATGTAAACACACAATCCAATACGGGAGAGAATTTAAATGGTGGCGACACTCTCACGAACAATTCCAAAATCTATACTATATCACTGAAAAAAATTATTCATTGAATTTACTACATATTTTCAAGGGAAGTGGTTGCAATCAATTTATTTTATATACATTTAAACAAACACATTTAATTGATTAACTTTCAACATGTTTTTATTTTTTAAATGTAGCTAAAATAAATAGTTTGCAACCACTTACTTTAAAAAAAATTAGTATAATTTTTTTCAGTGTAGAGTGAACAACTACATAACTGACATTTATCTTCATTCTTTCTGCTTTCCTCTCACATGCTTTGACCTTCCTGTTACAGCAGTACTGCAGTCTGTCTATGCCACCTGTCTAGCTCTCTCTATCTTGGGGTGCTTTACTGAGGCACATTAAGTATTTGTGCCGACAGGCCATGGTGCCAGTTTTTCAGTTTAGCAAAACGAGGGCCTTTGGCTTCAGATTCAAACCTTTCCCTGTAACATCAACACATATATACAAGACAAAAGGGGAAGGAAAAAAAGAGAAAAGAGAGGTTGGAGAAATGGGTTAGGGAATATGGCATTCACTCCCCTGCCCAAGATGTGTAAGTGTATACAAATATGCATGGCTGCCTTGAGGTCAAATGTTCTAGTACCCACTAAATGTTTCACATTCAACTAAATGCCAGAGGTCACATTCTGCATGTATTGTGTCAGATATGTAATGACAGTGTGAGATAAATGAGAGCTAATGATATATGAAATATAAAGCTTGATGTAAATACCACAGACCAGGGGTGTAAAGTACAGCATTTGAGCAACTGTAAGTCATTACTAATGTAGTAATAACATTAATAAGTAGTAATTTCAGAATTTTAGGAATTTGTACTTAATTTTAAAATTATATATTTTACGCTTTATAAATAATTTAGAGAAGATCTTCACATCTCAAAATGCATATCATAACTTTAATAATTGTAATCATGAATGCCCTTCCACCTTGCAACTCAGTTACAGTTTTATTTTTACTACACTGTAGTAAAAATGTTTGTTGCCCTTTTGGCATGGATTACTTTTCTAGGTTGATAAACTTCTGGTTTTGCAATACGTAAATCCTGTATGTTTGCTCAAGGGTTTTATGGATAGTAATGTCAAAACCCTTCAAGTAACCAGGTTTTTATGTTGTTATTTTTCACATCCAATTTGAAAAATTGGATATAGGTTGACAAAGACGGTAAGCAAGCATTTTGTAATGCAATGTCTAATTCTAAATGTTTACTTCTTTTTACAATTAAGTACAACTAAACGTGAAAACTCTGGTACTTTCAATTGCAGTAAGTAATTGTAAACAAAAAATACAAATTCTCTGTACTACACCCCTGATGCAGACTACTATGAATACATCCAAGCTGTACTATGCATCTAATGAGTGCGGATCAAGTTCAGCACAGAGAGTGGTGTCTGATTATGGGGGTCTGTGGGTCGATCAGCCTTTCAAATTTTAAGAGGCAGAGGGCTGGATTTCAGCACAGGTCAAGTAGGTGGCCACCAGATCCTGCTACTAGATGCCTACCTTGACCTTCTCAGAGCTTCCTCATCAGGGTCTTGCACTGCAGAGGAGAAGAGAAAAGACAAAGAGAGAACATGTCAGACTCTACACTCTAAGTCAAAATCTATATCAAAACAAAAGCAAATGGACAAAAACATGCAGGCAGACTTACTGTATTCAGTTCCAGTAATGTGGGCGAGGACACGGAAGGACTTGGACTGCAGCTGGGCGGCTCTTTTGGCCCAATCAGCCGGCTCCAGTTCATTGATTTCTCTGGGGATGACGGCCTGATACACTGGGGAAGCACTGTCTATAACACGGTCTTTAACTGGCAGATTACTGCAACCACAGAAAGAGCCGGTCGCGTGAAAACACACACTTTCCTATCAGCATGATCGGAATGTTAGCAAAGGTATTTTCATGTTTAACGACATAAAAAGTATTTTTGAGGTCTTAAAGGGTTAGTTCACCCAAAAAATTAAATTCTGTAATTAATTACTCACCCTCGTGTTGTTCCAAACCCGTAAGACCTCCTTTCATCCTCGGAACACAATTTAAGATATCTCTGATGAAATCTGAGAGCTCTCTGACCTCCCATAGACAGCAAGGCGTGCCTTGTGCCTTGTGTTCAACTTGTGACTTGTGTTTACACACTTGGATCATGGTGATATATGATATATATTGTGTAAATCCTAGTCATGTCAATCCCGTGGCAAAACCAGAGAAACAAACTCAGACCTCCCATAGACAGCAAGGCGATACTTTTTTGCACAAAGAAAACAAAAATAACAACTTTATTCTTGTTTTCTTTGCATAAAAAAGTATTCTTTTGTATAACTTTACAGTTGAACCACTGATGTCACATGGACTACTTTGTCGATCATCCTGGTTCTTTTCTGGACCTTGAACGTGGTAGTTACCTTGCTGTCTATGGGAGGGTCAGAGAGCCCTCAGATTTCATCAAAAACGAGGGTGAGTAATTATTGACAGAATTTTCATTTTTGGGTGAACTAACCCTTTAAAACTCCATAGATAATGAACTGGGATGTAAATGCATCAGTTTTACCCAATTTACTGCCATTATCACTAATTTACAGTGTATAGCCTAACATATGTTTGTTAACACTGATTGTTTTACATAAATCAATGAGTATTATGCAGTATATTTCATATAAGTGCTATAAAACAGAAAAGCATGGGCATTGTGGCCAGAAGCTTGCTTATCACTACCAAATACAGTATGACAGCATATCTTAGACACATTATATCTCTTACCCAGAAGAATGACAGAGCAGAGCATTCAGAAATCTGTTTGTTGACATCTAAAACTCAATCGCTGACTGATTTTCTCTTTCCACATTAGCAGACCCTCCTGCTGTAAACCTCAGCATTTAAACACGTTTCCACCAAACACTCATAAAATCACCTAGCAGCAATATTAAGGGTTTCAGAATAAAATCTGAAAGGGAAGTTAAAGGCGAAGTCTGAGAGGAGTAAAAAGAGGAGTAGTATGTGAGGTCATCGTTGCATTCGGATAAATAAAAAGCCAAGATAACAACTATTTCAAAAGTCACCAGACAGTCTCGGCTCATGAAATCCAGGTGCATTTCAGAACTCCAGATGCTCAAGATCAATCAAAGGGAGGTTAGAGGGTGAGATGAGAGAGAAATGCATATTATGGTGATCAGGCATGGGATGTGGAAGGGAAGAGACGAAAAGAGACTGTTCAGGCTACTTACGATAGCGGAGAGTCAGTTTCATTGCTGCCAGGCAGGGCCATTGAGATTGGACACAGGTAGGGTGGGAACAGGGTACGTGATGTACAGTGTGATGGATAGATGAAGTGATGGATGGTTGGGAATGGAGTGAGAGAGGGAAAATTAGATAAAGCTATGTTATGCATTAGAGAGTGGCTTCTGACACGAGACCGAAAGCCTGAGCTCTCACTTTCATGATTTCAAACCATATAAAAACCACAGGACATCAGAATACTGGCACCAACAAACAATACAAATATGTAGATCACTGCTAAAACACATGGATATACAGGAGAAAAACTGCAAAAATACACAACTCACACTAGTACAGATTACCAAGTCAGACTATCAAAACACACAATGCCATTCAAAAGTCTGGAGTTGTTAAGAATTTTTTTATGTTTTTGAAAAAAGTCTTATGCTCACCAAGGTTGCAAATATTTAATCAAAAATACTGCAAAAAAGGTAATATTGTAAAATATTTTTAAAATGTAAAATAACTGATTTCTATTTGAATATATTTTAAAATATAATTTATTCCTGTGACGGAAAAAAAAACTTAATTTTCATCAGCCACTGCTCTTCATTGTCTTCAGTGTCATAAGATCCTTCAGAAATATTTTTTTATTTGAAATGTGGTGCTCAAGAAACATTTCTTATTATTATCAATATTGAAAACAGTTGTGCTGCCTAATATTTAGGATTCTTTGATGAATAGAGTTCAAATGAAAAGCACTTATATTAGAAATAGACATCTTTTGTAACAATTTAAATGGCTTTACTGTCACTTTTGATTCATTAAAAGCACCCTATATATATATATATATATATATATAAATATATATATACACACACACACACACACACATAAAATTTCTTTAAAAAAATATTGACCCCAAACTTTTGAAGGGTAGTTCACCCATAAACCATGATCCCTAACTTGTGCAACTGAGCATTCCCATCATCATCCCCATTTGAAAAGCACACAAAAATCCAACTGGTTCTACAGAAACTGAAACATAACATATGCTAACATTGAAGACTTCGAAAACCTTTCTTCTGCTTCCGTATGGCAACATGTTCATATCCTGCAATTTACATTACTCAGATCAATGCTGTGAAACTTAGGAAAAGTAAGACTATATCAAGACTATGATCAGACATCCTTTGGAAGTCTTTAGCCTCTTGAGCATTAGCAGATAGCGCTGGCCCAGACAAGCGTGGCTTTGACAGGCATTATGGCAAACGTGTGTCATGCAGGACATGGGAGGAGGGAGAAGACACAGTTAGGTGCGACAGGTCTTACCCAGACAGCTCGCTACCCCTGGCCTGGGACTGGCCAGCAATGGCATCCATAATAGCATCCTGGGAGTACATGCTGATGGGGGTGTTGTACTGCGCATGGATGATGGTGGCCTTGCCTCCAGGCCCCTTCACCTCAATGGGCTTGTTGGTGGAGAGTGCAGTGTCCTTCAGAGCTATTGGGTTGAAGCTGGGCAGGTACTCAGTGCTGTGCGAGCGAGGGAGTGGTGATAAGGGATGAGTATGGGTAAAAGAGAGACAAGAGAGATAAAATGGAGGTTAGACAGAAAGAGTGAGATGAAGGGAATGTGGACAGTGAATTGGGACTGGGAGGGAAAGGTAAGAACCCAGTTGATAATAGCAGCATATGTTGTGTTTTGGATGCTGGCATTCTGGTATTTCAACAAAGCTTCTTGATTAGATTAACCACCAGAAAACTATGCTGATCGATCAGTTCTGCTAGACAACAGCATGCTTATACCGGCTTGGACCAGCATGGAAATTCATGATGGAAGGTGTTGCAGGTGAGACAAAACCATAGTACGATAATAATTAAATAGGTAAATAAACAAATAAAAGGCTCAGTCTAATTTTTAAGGCAGAAACAACACATCAAAAACACGCTTCACACAGCAAAAACTTACTACTGCAAACAACACATACATTTACTTGTATAACTACAGCAAGCAGTACAACTTAATATACTAAACAGGGATGGGAATCAGATAGAATTTAAATTCCTGATTCTAATTCCTCTGAACCATTCCAGTTCCTTAACGGCTCCATTTATGATTCTTTCAAAGAAAAAATATTTTGAAAAAAAAAATAAAAGTATGACAAGATGTTTTTAATAATTAATAAATGTACAACAATTCTTGGAAAAACTTGTTCAAAACAGTAACGCATACATGTGCAAGAAACGTTAACAGAACTGGACATCATTTAATTATGATATATATATATATATATATATATATATATATATATATAAATCTCTCTTAATGCTGTAAACTATGCAGGGAACCCTGTTAGCTGGTATTATTATTAAAGGTTAAAACTATCAATTTATTGTATAAAATAAAAAAAGTGATTTTTACAATAATATTTTTTTTTATATATATATATATATATTAAAACATATGGAACCCAATTTTGAATAAAGGTGCATTCATGGCATGTCGGAATTACAGTAATTATGAGATTCTGACTTGTAAAAAGCATTCACATCTTCACAGAACTTGTATTTACAACTCTTACAATTTGTACCACAGCAGAAACAAAATAGCAGAGCTTCAGTAGAAAAACATTTAAGCAGTTATTTCGGAATAATTATGTTTAATAATTCCTATAACTGATTATTGTTAATGTCTTAAAGGGATCATATGATGCTTTTTTAAAGATCATTATTTTGTGTATTTGGTGTAACAGAATATGTTGACATGCGTATATCTCTTTGGTTTTGAGACTTTAGTCTTTGCAACTTCAGGGATCTTATCTATGCACAATCAGCTTGTAACACTCCAAAGAGAAAGGAAAACTTGAAATCGCATCATATGACCCCTTTAAGAATAATCGGGAAAATAAAAGAGATAAAATACTATTTAATGTAACTATCAAAGAGTTAACTATAGAATAACTATCTAATATCCCACTGAATAAACTATAACTATTAACACGGCATTTGAATAATGACTGTTACTTGTTATATTGTCTATTAAATGACACAAATTCATTTTGCCATTAGTAGTGCTGCAACCGAAATACATAATTCAGATCACAACTAATAATCCCGGGCTGTCATATAGTAAATGTGGTAATTACGACATGGTGTGAATGTAGCATAAGAAACAGTTCTTGATTCCCAACCAAACACTGTGAGTATACTAACTAAGAAGTGCCTAACTGGGACCAATAAAATTATGACAAACGCATTCTCAACGCTAAACATGAGTTCAGCAAGCAAACCTCTAGTCTCCTAAAACACACACTGCAGCACAGTGCCAACTGGGATTCTCATAAATACATATTCCAAAGATTCAGATATGCTTCTCTGTGTTGTAGTATAGGTTTATGTTAAGCATTAGTGCATAATTAAAGCAATCTGAGAATGCACAGGATGACAAATCTCACTAACCACACTTTATACTACAAAGGCAGATCCAAACAATTCCATGCATGTATACCACACAGAGCACTACAACGTTATGCCAGGAGGCTGTTACTAACTTGGCAGGAGTGTTGGTAATAACCTACAATGGGCGAAAGGAAACAGAAACAAGGGCATTGGTTAGAAACTCATATAAACTTAACATGGAAGGGTTGTGCCAGTGAAAGTTCTTCAAAATTAAGAATTTCATCAGATTTTCAAGGTGCAGTGTGTAATTTCCGAATTTTGAAAATAATGCTGGTTCAAACACTTCCTGTCTTACACAGGATGTCCTGCACTAAACTCAAGCCACTGGTTGACCCAAGCTGGGCTGCTCAAATAGACACATTCTCTTTGTGGCACAGAAATTACATACTTCACCTTTCAGGAAAAGGGAAAACGTGTTTGAGTGCCAGTGTGTGTGTGTGTGTGTGTTTGGCATGAGTGACATGTAGCGAGTAGCAAGTTGCCTTTCAAAGAGGCAAATAAATAAATAACTGAACGCAACAGACGTATCACTGACCACAACTGACAAAAGAGTTTTCATAAGAGTATCTCCCTGCAAAGATGTGATCGGAGGGAGTGAGGGGGGTGTATCAGTGTAGTTAGGAAACTGAACCCTGAAATTCCATGACCTTTTAAAAGGAGAGCAGCGACAGGTGCTTTCTCACCCCTCTCCATCCGTATCACTCGACGGCCTGAGATTTCCTCTGTGCTGAGGCACACGCTAAGACCCTTTTCACCGCATATGAGGAAGAGAGTAAACGGAGAGGAGTACAGGACATTGTCATCCATTTACCTAATCCACAACAGTACTGCCAAAGTGCATTGCTTTGAGGTTACAATGCAGAAGTGAAACTGTCAAACTGGGAAAGTGATATAGTGCTTTTAATGTCTCAATACGACAGCTTGCTTTGGTTAGCAAAACATGAATTTATGCAGATACAAATCTGGGGTCTGTTTTCAAAAGTTTGTCAGATTTTTTTAATGCTTTTGAAATACGTCTCATGTTTACCCAGGCATTTATTTATTTGATCAGAAATACAGTACAATTGTGAAATAGTATTACAATTTAAACTACCTGTTTTTATTCATGTGATGACAAAACTGAATTTTCAGCAGTCATTCTTTAGTGCCACATGATCCTTCAGAAATCATTCTGATATGATATTTTGGTGCTCAAGAAATATTTGAAGAGATACAAAATAGATACAAAAAGCCTCTATGTGCCATCTGAAATTTTCTTCGAAAATGAGCATTTTTCTCAGGTTCCTATGTTTGTTCAGTTATTCATTGCCATTATAGTGAAATTACTGAAACTAAACATAGGAGCCTGATAAAAATGCTAATTTTAGAAGAAAATTTCAAACGGCACTTTGCATCTGAACTCTTCATTTGTTATCAGTGTCTTACTATTATCAATAAAAACAGTTGTGCTGCTTAATATATTGGTGGAAACCATGAAACACTTTCTTTGATCAATAGAAAGTAAAAAAAAACTGCATTTATTTGAAAAATAAATATTTTGTTACACTACACGTCTTTACGGTCACTTCTGATCAATTTAATGCATCCTTGCTAAATATAATTAACATGTATTAATTTCTTACAAAAGAAAAAAAATCTTACTGACCCCAACATTTTGAACAGAGGTGTATTTTCCATTTTGACAGGCAATTTTTCAATCTAACCCCTCTGGTGGATGCATTATCTGGTATAACATGATCGCTGTACCTGAAGGAGGGCCACCTCCAACTGAAGCCTCAGCTCAAATTTGTCTTGCACGTTCCTTCAGAGGCTTGAAGCTTTAACTAGATCCTCCTCTGGCCTGCTAATGCCAGTGGGGAATAGGGTCAATGTAACAGATATAACCTCTCTTTTCTGAATGTTGCATGGCCGCTGTCATTCTTCTGTCAAGAGCAACGTTAGCAACCAGGTGGGGCTGAACTATAACCGGCCCACTGATTCTAACCTCTTTTAGAAACTCTACACTGTTAATTTAGAATTAAACACTATATTTTTAAATAGGACACCTGGCTGCTAGTGTCAGATCTCAGTCGTTCTGTGATTACATACCCACTAGGCATGCCTGACCCCGAGCTCTTAACCCTCTCCTGCAGCATGGCCATCTCTCGTAATGTCTCTGCAGAGTACAGACCGATGGGGGAGTTATACTGCTGGCTTTTTTGCCCAGAGGAGGATTTGTCCCTCGGAGCAGCTAAATGCCTTTGAGCAGGCAAAGAAGCTTCTCCGCTACTGCTCACCACAGTGCTATAGGACTGGTTGGTGTGCTTGCTTGAGTAGCTGGAGTTTGTCTTAGCAGAAACCGAGAGAGCCCCATTCATTTGCACAGGCTGATCCTTAAAGGGAAACGTGCATGTGTGTGGACAGTGTTGAGAAAGAAAGAACAGAAGGAGCCGGTCAGAGGAAAGCTTAGAATGACAATAATTTAAAGTTAACACTATGTAAACTACAAAAATTAATTTGAAAATTGTTGACTTGATGTTTTACTGAAAGCAAAAGGAATATTTTACCACAAAAAAAAAAAGAAAATTCTATCATAATTTACAGTATGCCTTGTGTTGTTTGAAAAAACTTTTTAGATTTTTTTTATAGCCCCGATTTTGTATTCATTATACTGAAGTGCAGGAATGGCATTTTGAAAAATATCTCCTTTTTGTTGAAACATAGAAGAAAGATTGATTATATTGATTTGTAACCACACAAAGGTGGGAAATGGCTAATGTTTTGAAGAAATAACTTATTCGTTACCTTCTTTAACATAATATGAGTTTGTACACTACCATTCAAAAAGATCAGTTTTTATAGATTTTTTTTATATATATATTTTAAATGTCTCTTCTGCTCAACAAGACTGCATTTATTTGATCAAAATACAGTAAGAACTGTAAATATTATTACAACTTAAAATAACTGTTTTTTAAAAATATATATATATTTAAAATGTAATTTATATCTGTGATGGCAAATCTGAATTTACTCCGGTCTTCAATGTCACATGATCTTTCAGAAATCATTCTAATATTTGCTTCTAAAGAAATATTTCTTACTATTATCAATGTTGTAAAGAGTTGCTTAATATTTTTGTGGAAACTGTGATTAACTGTGAAATATTATAAATGTCTTTTGCATCTTTTCTGAATAAGTATTCATTTCTATAAAAAAGACCCTAAATTTTGAATGATAATGTATGTACTAATCAGGGTTCTGAAACAGAGGCTTTATGATCTTTCTTTGTATGTGACTAACACAATATTTGTTATTAAATGGCAAACTAATTGTGAAGAGCAATACATTGACAATGTTTAGTTAACTTTTTGCTGGAATGTGCAAAGTGAAAACCAGCAGGGGGCATCATAAGGCTTTTTACATGTAGTAGAACATTTGTAAAGATAGCATACATGAAAAAGGCATCCTGAGTTGAGAGAAAACCAAAGAACAGAATCTTTTATCTTACCCTCTAAAAATAAAAAAATTAAAATAAAAAACCCTTTTAACTGAGGACTTCAGCTGAAGCTTGCACTAAGGCTTGCTCTAGCTTTTACATTTCATGAACAATCATGTGGAATGAATGACCTGTGCTTGACTTAAAGTATGTGAATGCACGAACATATACTGTATGCAGATATATGTAGAATGCATGACAGTGAGTAACATGTGACAGACCTTCTGATGAGGGATCACAGGCATAGGGGAGTCAATCCTTGATGTTGTCATGGGAACTGGAGTGGGCCGCTTTGACCTGTGATAAAACAGAGTGAGCATTTGAAGAAAATGACAGAAGTGCTAAAGACAGATTGTCTGGATCACATCTTTTATGACAAAATTGCAATGTCAAGTGGTGAACTATAAACATTTCACACACAGTTCTACATAAATGATGCAGCCATGTACAAACTTGTGGCAAATATTTTCAGTTTTCCAGGTCTCTCGACTTTCCTTTGAGATTGAACACTGTCACAATAACAACATAATGAATGCCATCCACAACAGAAGCAGTTTTCGTTGCTATCAGCTATCAGAAAAATGCTTTTGTCCAAACAGACTTTGTGCCAAATTGAACCTTTTCAGAAGAAAAAAATAAAAACATTACTTGCCTTGTACACAAAAGGGAAAAACTAGCATACTTTATAGTGCGCATTTTTTGAAAATTTGTGCAAAAAGAAAAGCACAAAGAACAATTGACAAAAGAGAAGTCCTTGGAACACAGTAAAGACAAAAGATACGTTTTGACAACAACGTACTATACATAACGTATCTTGACAAGTGTTAAAGTTTATCCCACCCTACATGTCCACTTTCTAACAACAACTCTTGCAGAGGGAACTCTGGGATCTATTAAGAGTGTTAAAGCAAAGGAAGGATGGTCCGGTGTAATCCCTGCAGGTATGCTCAAAGAGGGGAAATAAAGGTGAACATGCCTTTTTGGGGTTTTGCTCATGATAAAGTGAACTAACTGTAAACCTGACTTAAGAACTAAAACACATCAGAATTGCAACCTGCGCTGGAGAGATCAAGGATGTTTTTACAAGCTCATATATTTCACGTATCTCACGGATGACTAGTGCAGACATGGTTCATGAGGAAGATACTATCCCAGGCATGTCACTCTCTCTGCAGCTTCATCTGTTGATAACTGATATTTATATTACATGCCTAGAATAAATGGCAGATATCTTTCATTCCACTCTTTTGATTAGTTGATCACTTTACCCAAGAGCCTTCAGTTTATATTTTTCTGCTCAAATCTGATGTTGTTCACATATGAAGCTGTTGACATGATCTTTTAAATGTGGCCCATACCAGACACTGTCTAAACAATCACATAACACACTTTAGCCTGTCATGTACATCATAACACCATCAGAACATTTCATAATGCAATATGATATCATATTTTGTTCTTCATTCATTATTAGAATTTCGTCCAGTCTTCCAATCTCAAAACTAACAGTTTAGTTTCTTTGCAATGTTTAAAGCAAGTGAAAAACATTATTTGGCATCAATATATACATTTCTGTTGTGAAGTTTGGGGTCAATTTCTGACTTTAAGTCTCTTATGCTTAACAAGGCTGCATTTATTTGATTAAAAATACAGTATATGTACAGAATACAATATACTGTAAAATACATAATATACTGTATTAAGATATTCTGTGAAGCAAAGCTGAATTTTCAGCATCATTACTCCAGTCTTCAGTGTCACATTATCCTTCAGAAATCATTCTGACATGCTGATTTGGTGCTCAAGAAACATTTCTTATTATCAATGACTTTATAAAAAATGGAGGAATTTAAAATCTTACTGATTCTTACTGATTTCTTCAAAAATTTACTTACGATAGTATACAGAAACATTTTTTACACTTAAAGTGTATCAATATATTTTTAAATGCTTTAGATATTACCTTTCAGTGTAAAACTTCACATACTGCAATTCATACATTAATTTTATGGGTAAATCTAGCATACAAGGATGAATGCTGAGCTAGTAAAATGAATGTTGAGAAAAATAAAGTTGCATGGATTCTGATCTAACTACAAAGTTCGAAAACCATATCCATATATGAATAAGAAAGTTATGCAGATCAACTGCAGTGTGAACGTAACCTTGTTTAAAGCTATGTTGTGTCAGTACTGGGCAGCCTTGAGTTGGAGCACAAGGCTGGAAAAAAGCTTATCAAGTTAACTGGTGTATGATGTTGCTGATGGATGAATGGACACTCGCCAGAGGCTGTGAAGCGTCACGAATCCGGTCCATGGACTTTTATCCAATGAACACGAGAGGTTGCTCTCTCACCATATTGACACTCACTCCACATAGACTGTCACACATCACTTTGGACTACATCTACCATGCTCCACTGCACTGATTGCGCACTCACCTGCATCCAATAACTCACACTATATAACACTCACTCTGATCCTGCTCTAGTCGCCGAGTATTGTATGCGTTTATCTCTCTCCAAGCGATAGCTACTCTACGGAGCCTGTCTAGTTTTCCCACATGAAGGAAGATTCTAGAAGTGTGCATGTATTCATTGTCTGTTTTGAAGAGCTTTTCAAATGTGTGTGGATGTTTGTCTAGTAATGTTGAAAATGAGCAAAATGAATCAGCAGCCATTCTGATGTGAGTTGTCAGATGTGTCATAATACTCTTTATATCTACTTTTTCAACTAACATGAAAGCAATAAAATCACATGACCTTTTCCTGGCTAAACACAAACAGAGCTCATCTAAACTCACACAAAATCTCAGTCACATATGTTTATGATATACTGAAGCTGCAGTCTGTTTACGCTTCATAAAAATGAATCCCATGATTGACTACACTGAACAGACAAGGCCTGCTTTTATTACACTGCAGTGAATGAGCCAACAATAATTCAATTAATAATTTGTTTGTAGCCACTGAATTGACAGATCACACAAGAGGATGATAAAGGCTGCTCCAGAGCTGTCATTGAAGATAGAGCGTTACAAACTTATGGCCGCCAAGACAGATATCAAATATCCAGCCTGGTCTCATGTTTATACGTAGGTATTAATACGTAACATTTACAAGCACAAAACGTA